ATTCTGCACCTGATTCTTCAATCCAAAGAACCCTACATCGGCAACCATAATCCTAAACAGATTCCAGTGTAAAAATAATGGTATAAGTGACATGAAATAACCAAATTAGAAGAAGCACATCAAAATGTGACAAAACCACCAAAACAAAGAAATTTTTACTTTATTCATTTTTTAATTACTCAAATAGCATAATGTAGGTTTTACTTACCTAGATAGCACAATTTTTTGTTAAACCGAGAATTCGATTTGTTGGAATACGAAACATAAACGTAATTGTATTTTATAATTTTTACAAACAATTCAGAATTCGATTTTCCGACAACCGAATTCTGAATAGTTTTCTTTTTATTTTGTTAAAAAAAAACTAACTATAATATAATATATATATATATATATATATATATATATATAAAATATGTTATACTATTTTATTTAACATTTATAGTTTTAAATTAGGTATTTAAAAAGATTTGTATATTTCTAAAATTAATTATATATTTAGATTTATTGTTGAAAGTAGTAAAATAATATTTTTAAAATATATTATTAAATATTATATTTAAATTTAATTGTATGATTAAACTTTTTTTAATTTTTTGATTTATTTGATATTATAATTTTTTTAGAAATTAATAATAAATTAGGAGGATAATAAAAATCTTAAAAATTATATGTATATAAGAATAAGTTATACCTTAGAGAATAAATATATATATATATATATATATATATATATATATATATTAAAATATAATTTATTTTTAAGTTGATAATTTTTATTTATGTAAATTTTATATATAAAATTAATTTAGAGTTCATATATATAATTTTAATTTATGTATATATATATATATATATATATATATATAATTTATATAATATATATAATTTATTTAACATTAAAAATAATTATATTTTTATTAATTTTATAATTATAATTTTTTTAAGGTTATAATTTTAAATATAATTTTTTTAACTTGATATTTATAATTTATATAATATATATATAATTTAAAAATAATTTTTTTTAATTTTAAGTTGATATATTTTTTTATTTATAATTATTTAATATATATTTGAAAAACTAATTGATTATTTAAAAATTAATCAATTATTTAAAAAAATAACTGATTCTCATCAAGTATGAAAAAATCAAGTATGAAAAAACTAATCGATTACTTTTTGAAATAATCGATTAGTTTTTTAAATAGTTAAAAAAAATATATATATATATATATATATTATTTAAAAGTAACATATATGATAGCGGTTAACGTGAAACCGTTCTTAAAAGTGACATATATGATAGCGGTTAACAAGAAACCGCTCTTAAAAGTGTCATATATGATAACGGTTAACATGAAACCGCTCTTAAAAGTGTCACCGCTATCTAAAAGAACTGGTTCTCAAATTCTGCTCGATTACTTTTTGAAATAATCGATTAGTTTTTTGAATAGTTAAAAAAAAATTATATATATATATTATATTATAGAAATGAAAATAAGTTATACTTTAGAGAATAAATATATATATATATATATATAAATATAATTTATTTTTTAGTTGATAATTTTTATTTTTATTTATGTAAATTTTATATATAAAATTAATTTAGAGTTCATATATGTAATTTTAATTTATGTAATATATATATATATATATATATATATATATAATTTATATAATATATATAATTTATTTAACATTAAAAATAATTATATTTTTATTAATTTTATAATTATAATTTTTTTAAGGTTATAATATTAAATATAATTTTTTTAACTTGATATTTATAATTTATATAATATATATAATTTAAAAATAATTATTTTTTAAAATTTTAAGTTGATATATTTTTTTATTTATAATTATTTAATATATATTTGAAAAACTAATTGATTATTTAAAAATTAATCAATTATTTAAAAAAATAACTGATTCTCATCAAGTATGAAAAAATCAAGTATGAAAAAACTAATCGATTATTTTTTGAAATAATCAATTAGTTTTTTAAATAATAAAAAATTAAAAGTGAAATATATGATAGCGGTTAACATGGAACCGCTCTTAAAAGTGACATATATGATAGCGATCTCACGTTAACCACTATCTAAAAGGACTCGATTCTCAAATTTTGATCGATTAGTTTTTTGAATAGTTAAAAAATAAGTTATATTTTGAAAATAATCGATTATTTTTTGAAATATATATATATATATATATATATATATATATATATATATATTAATTTATCTATAATATGAGAACCAGCTTATTTTTTAAAATAATTGATTAATTTTTAAATAATTAATTAGTTTTTAAAATATATATTAAATAATTAAAAATAAAATATATATCAAATTAAAATTAAAAAAAATAATTATTTTTAAAAAATATATATATTATATAAAATATAAATATAAAGTTAAAAAAATTATATTCAAAATTATAACCTTAAAAAAATTATGATTATATAAGTAATAAAAATATAACTATTTTTAATGTTAAATAAATTATATATATATATATATATATATATATATATATTACATAAATTAAAATTACATATATGAACTCTAAATTAATTTTATATATAAAATTTACATAAATAAAAATAAAAATTAGCAACTTAAAAATAAATTATATTTATATATATATATATATATATATATATATTCTCTAAAGTATAACTTATTTTCATTTCTATAATATATATATATATATATATATATATATATATATATATATATTTGTTTTTTTGTTACTATTCAAAAAACTAATCGATTATTTCAAAAAGTAATTGATCAGAATTTGAGAACCAGTTCTTGTAGATAGCGGTTAATATATGTCACTTTTAAGAGCGGTTCCACGTTAACCGCTATCATATATGTCACTTTTAAAGCGGTTCACGTTAACCGCTATCATATATGTTACTTTTAAATTATATATATATATATATATATATATATATATATATATTTTTTTAACTATTTAAAAAACTAATCGATTATTTCAAAAAGTAATCGATTAGTCTTTTCATACTTGATTTTTTCATACTTGATGAGAATAATTATTTTTTTAAATAATTGATTAATTTTTAAATAATCAATTAGTTTTTCAAATATATATTAAATAATTATAAATAAAAAAATATATCAACTTAAAATTAAAAAAATAATTATTTTTAAATGATATATATTATATAAATTATAAATATCAAGTTAAAAAAATTATAATTATAATTATAAAATTAATAAAAATATAATTATTTTTAATGTTAAATAAATTATATATATTATATAAATTATATACATATATATATATTACATAAATTAAAATTACATATATGAACTCTAAATTAATTTTATATATAAAATTTACATAAATAAAAATAAAAATTATCAACTTAAAAATAAATTATATTTTAATATATATATATATATATATATATATATATATATATATATATTTATTCTCTAAAGTATAACTTATTTTCATTTTTATAATATATATATATATATATATATATATATATATTTTAAACTATTCAAAAAACTAATCGATTATTTCAAAAAGTAATCGATCGAATTTGAGAACCAGCTTCTTTTAGATAGCGATTAATATGAGACCACTATCATATATGTCACTTTTAAGAGCGGTTCCACGTTAACCGATATCATATATTTCACTTTTAAGAGCGGTTCCATGTTAACCGCTATCATATATGTTACTTTTAAATTATATATATATATATATATATATATATATATATATTTTTTTTAACTATTTAAAAAACTAATCGATTATTTCAAAAAGTAATCGATTAGTTTTTTCATACTTGATTTTTTCATACTTGATGAGAATCAGTTATTTTTTTTAAATAATTGATTAATTTTTAAATAATCAATTAGTTTTTCAAATATATATTAAATAATTATAAATAAAAAAATATATCAACTTAAAATTAAAAAAAATAATTATTTTTAAATTATATATATTATATAAATTATAAATATCAAGTTAAAAAAATTATATTTAAAATTATAACCATAAAAAATTATAATTATAAAATTAATAAAAATATAATTATTTTTAATGTTAAATAAATTATATATATTATATGAATTATATATATATATATATATATATATATATATATATTACATAAATTAAAATTACATATATGAACTCTAAATTAATTTTATATATAAAATTTACATAAATAAAAATAAAAATTATCAACTTAAAAATAAATTATATTTTAATATATATATATATATATATATATATATATATATATATATATTTTCTAAACTATAACTTCTTCCTATATACATATAATTTTTTGAGATTTTTATTATCCTTCTAATTTATTATTAATTTCTAAAAAAATTATAATATCAAATAAATCAAAAAATTAAAAAAAGTTTAATTATACAAATAAATTTAAATATAATATTTAATAATATATTTTAAAAATATTATTTTACTACTTCCAACAATAAAGCTAAATATATAATTAATTTTAGAAATATACAAATTTTTTTAAATACCTAATTTAAAACTATAAATGTTAAATAAAATAGTATCACATATTATATATATATATATATATATATATATATTAGTTATTTTTTTTCTTAATAAAATAAAAAAAAATTATTCAGAATTTGGTTGTGGGAAAATTGAATTCTGAATTGTTTGTAAAAATTATAAAATACAATTACTTTTAGATTTCATATTTAAACAAATCGAATTCTTAACTTAACAAAAAAAATTGTGCTATCTAGTTAAATAAAATGTAAAGTATGTTATTTCAGTAAAATGAATAGGCGGAAAAAATTTCCCTAAACCAAAGCTCTATGACCATATTAACCTTGCTGACAACCACTACTCATTGTCTATCCATATGTTGTGTTAAATGAGTGTCCAAAAGAACAAAAGAGGTGATCCAAATTATGAGAGTGGTAGCAATGCAGTAATTACATTTGCTAGTAACTTTAGCTAATTAATTTAATGTACTGAATCAAATCCTCAAGACTGGAGTAAGAGGAACCACCTGGACTCACAGTCTTGTGAGCCAATATAGCCATAGCTTGAGCTGATTTGAGAAACTCCTCTCTCCTATGAACCATGAGATCATTTACCATCTTCTCCACAACATCTCTGTCACAAACATCTTTCATATCCAACCCAACTTTCCAAACCTCACTCACAAACCTGCTGTTAATCTGCTGATCCGCAAAGTATGGCCAGCAAATCATGGGCACACCAGCCACCAAACTCTCCAAGGTTGAGTTCCACCCACTGTGGGTCAAGAACCCACCAATGGCCTTGTGAGCCAGCACCTCCTCTTGCGGGGCCCACCCCACAATGAACCCCCTCTCTTTAGTCCCTTTCTCCAGCTCAGGCGGTACCCAGTCATGGCTGTCTTCTCCCTCCACCATATCAGGCCGCATCACCCACAAGAACCTCTTCTTGCTGTTCACCAAACCGTACCAAAACTCCATGAGCCTCTCCCTTGTGACGGTAGTGATGCTACCGAAGCTGACATATAACACCGATTTCAATGGCTGAGAGTCAAGCCAAGTCAAGCAACTTCTATCCACTTCCCAGAAAGAACTCGTGGACGGCGTTGTTTTGGCGTCGGATGCCCTTCTGGAACTCAGGTGCGCATGGAGAGGACCAACGGCGAAGACTCGGGGAAACTTGAGTCGCATTTGGGACAAAAGAGGACCATCTAGATCCTCGAAAGTGTTGAGTATGACTCCTCGGCCTCTAAACATTTGATGGCACTCTATGACCAAGGCTTTTAAAGGTTCTGCTTGGTCGGATTCTGCTCCTCGATAGAAACTAGGGAGGTCTCGACATCGGAGAATGTTTTCCATTCCTGGGAGAGTTGTTATGATGCGATCCATGTCTTCCTCTCCTTGATAAATTTGGATTATGTATCCACCGAAGAGGAAGATGTTAAGAAGAGAAAATAAAATGGGATCAAAGTATGAAATTGGTAAAAGAAAAAAAAACAAATTATTATTGAAATAAAAGCAAATCATAATATAATAATTAAAAAATTGAATATATTCAAACAGACTTCACTCTGAGAATTAGTGATATAAGTTTATTGAAATAAAAAATGGTGAAAACAATTTATTCTTTTTCTGATATTGGTAAGAATCATATGATAAAGAAACTTCTGGTAAGGGAAAAAGTACTAGTCTATTATAACTTAATGTTATTCAATCTTATTTGATTTTACTATATTATACACCAAAATAAAAAAACATGGTTATAGTAAGGGAAAACAACTACTACTAGTCAACTATAACTTAAGATATATAATAATTTAATAATTTGTAGATTTATACCTCTTATAGGAAGTTCATTGGATTGAAAGAGATTTGGAGCACAGAAGAAAGCCCAGGAAGATAAACAACTGATGGCGCGAAAATGAATGACCGGAATCCCAACCTCATCCGCCACGTCAGCGGCGAGGCCTCCGAGGAATCCGTCAGCGATGAGGCAAGTGACCCTGGGCTGTGGAGCAGTTTTGGAGAGAAGAATGTCTCTGAGGAAAGGTTTTGCGTGCGAGTTCATGGAAGAATAGAGTTCATAAACAGCGTGGGAACCAGAACGAGGGTGATGATTAGGGAGGCCGTCCGAGATGGTCTTGAATTGGAGAGTGGGGTAGATTTGCGAAAGAGCCTGGAAGTCACCGAAACGGTGGAGGCTGTGGTGGATGAAGTGGGTGTTGATGAAGGTGATGTGAAAGCGACGGAGAGCCAGAAGCTGTGCGAGCTTCAGCATGGAGTTGACGTTGCCTTTCACTGGACCCGGGAAGAGGACAACATGGTTTCCACCTCCTTCCTCTTTTTCTTCCGACATCCTTTGCTATGTCTCTATCTACTGTTTCGTCGTCTGTGGGAAGGGATCCCTTCCTTTTTTAAACATAAATCCTTATGCTTATCCATCACTGACACAGGATAAAATTAAATAGAAAATGATAAATTTAAATATTAACTGATATATTTTGATTTTATAGATATTTTGGACAAGTTAATATTATAATTCTAAATAATTATTATTTTGATTATAAGAAGATAATGTTAGGATTTTAATAAAATTAAAGTTGTAATTTTTAAATAACTAAATGTAATTTTTATTTGGTAGGAAATTTTGAGAAATTGTTTATTATGAAATTTATATTAGAATTATGGTTTGAGAAACAATTTGAAGTAAGTGATGACTAGTAAAGTGAATGATGTGGTTTAATCATGATTAACAAAAATAATCAATTATAATTATTGAAGTTTTCTTAAATCTTAAGTTAATTAGGAGATAATCGATGATGATTTTAAAGAACCAAAAAATAGCGAACAAATTTTAGCAGTCGCAAATAAAGCATTGAAAGGGAAGCGTGTAAAGGATAAGGTAGTCCTACACATGTTGTATCAAGTTGTTGATGAATATAACTTTAAGAAGATAATAAGTGTTAAAACTTCAAAAGAAACGCGAGATGCATAAAAGGAGCATACAAGGGTGATAATCGAGTTAAATAAGTTCACTTACAAATGCTACATGCGCAAGATGGAAAACATGAGAATGAAAAGAGTTTTTGAATACATTATATGTATTCAAATCGTGGTGAATCAACTTAATTGACATGGAGATGTACTTTCTGAAGTCCGTATTGTGGAGAAGATCTTGTGGTCGTTAACCGATGACTTTGAGAATGCAATGTGTGTGATACAGGAATCAAAGGACCTGTCCGAACTCATGGTACAAAAATGAAGCCTATGAGCATCGAAAGAAGAAAAAGAAGAAGGATGCAACAATTCAAGCGCTTTAGAGTGAGACAATTATGAAAGAAGAGAAAACTTTCTATTTTCATAAGACTTGAGGTAGAGGATGAGGAAGTGCAGAGGTAATGAGGAAAAAAAAAAGGAAACCAACAAAATGATATGGTAGAAGATGTGGTCAAATAGAAGTTTGTTTAACAAGTCATTCAACTATTGAATGTTTTAATTGTGACAAATATAACTACTATGTAAAAGGATTGTTACATGAGCAAGTGTTACAATTATGGTAAAGTAGGGCTTTTTGTGAAAGAATGTCAAACTAAAAAAGTGGTGGAAGAGACCTATCTCACAGAGGAGGCAAAAGCAACAATTTGATCTTATCTTGACAAATAACAATAATGGAGTTCGGGAAGATAGTGATCATAACTCGGTATGATAACTGAATACGGGTGCAAGTAACAATATGTGTAGAGACGAGTATTTATTTAGTGAATTGGAGAAAGTTGAGGACAATCATGTGTCTTTAGGAGATGATTTAGAGGTCTTGATAAAAGACTGAGGTACTATTTGTTTCTTTTTAAAGAGAATGCCTAATCAGATCAATCTAAGATGCGTACTATATTCCAGATCTCAAGAGTAACATTTTAAGTTTGAGATAACTTATAAAGAAGGGGTACTCAATATTTACAAGAGACTTGAATACTATAATTGAAGAACAAACTTGAAAGGTTAATTGCGTGAGTTGAATTCGAACTTGATCGAGCTAAGTCCGAGTAGTAGATTTCAAAGTGACTCTGTTCGATCTCATTCATCATTGTATTCTTTTGAGAATAAATTTTTTTGAGATACAAGCGTGCAAAGGTGAGTCCAAAAGAGTGGAAGAATATTAGGGTTGGAAAGTATAGGAAAAAAAATTAAGAAGTGAGCAGTTGTGGATGATGATATCCGAACAATAGAACAGAATAACACATTACGATAACTGAGTTGTCGATTCACTCACAACCAATAAGTATAAAGTAAGTGTTTAAGAAGATGTATGCAAATGATATTTTGAATAAGTTTAAGATAGTCAGTTGTAATCCGATCCCAACCCTCATGTAATCAGGAATGAAGCTTTTAAAGGTTGACAGAGGAGATCGAGTTAATCTGAACAAATATAAGAGCTTAGAAGGAAACCTTTGTTACCTTATAAGTACAAGACCGAACTTGTTGTTAAGTACTAGGATTGTTAGTCGATTTATGAAAGATCCGAGTTATTCTCACCGGAGGAGTTAAAGCGAAATTGAGGTATATATGAGGTACAGTGTCACTCCGAAGTGTTTTATATGAGGTCGGAAAATTATTGACTCATTGGTACTCGTGTAATGATTGGTGTGGAGATATGAATGATAAAAAAAATACATTAGATACGTATTTTTTTATTATGAGGAACACAACATTCACTTGACTTTTGAAGAAGCAACCCATAATGACATTATCAACGTGTGAAGTCAAATACATAATAACATCATGGAATGTGTGTCATGTAATATTGCTTAGGAATTTATTGAGATCGTTGGATGAGAAGCAACTCAGTGGGACGATGATTCGAGTTAATAACAGGTCAGTTATTGAACTGACAAAGAATTTGATCAACCATGAAAGGAGTAAACATATTGATGTGTAGTTTTATCCGATAACATGTGAAGGAAAAAAATGTGGAACTTGTACATGTGATGAATCGGGATCAAATTGTGGATATCTTCACAAAGTCATTACCTCCAATGTTATTCGAGAATTGCAAAAAATTGATCGGATTGAAGGATGAAAAAGCTCTTAGTCAGAAGGAAGAGGTAGACTTGTTACTGATCTCTATCAATTAAAAAAAAAGCATTTTATTTTACAACAGAGTTTATTAGATAAAATTAAATAAAAAATAATAAGTTTAAATGTTAGTTGAAATGTTTTAATTTTATAGATATTTTGGGTAGTTAATATTACTATTCTAGATCATTGTTATTTTGATTATAGGGAATTAATGCTAGGATTTCAAAAATTAAAATTACAATCTTTAAATCCCCAAATCTAATTCTCATTTGGTACGATAGATTATCAATAATATATAGTTTTCTTAAATTCTTATTGTCAATAATATATGTAAGATATCTTAAATTTCTCTTTCTTACCTAAATAATTTCTAACACGAGCATCTAAAAAAGGTATACCCCAGGACAATTATGAATCACTCCCTTTCAATTAGCTTGTTAACTCGTCCTACCCTTAATTGAGAGATATCATTTCAGGAGTGAACTGTTCTTGGCTAAAAAGTGCTAGTTATATGAGGAAGTGATGATATATATTTTGTATTTATAAAGAAGACAGTCTCTTTAAAACCTCCCAGGTCAAAATCCTCCTTAAGGATAAATACTGGTGGTAGGAAAGAGTGCATACAATTTAATTATAATAGAACTTAAGTAGCGATGCACGTCTGTTCGTGGTATTAGTTTGCCCGTCAATTCTTCTTGTGCTTCCCCTTACTCGGAGTACCATGTCTCCTCGCCGAAATCCTCAAAATTACCTTAGATTTGTGTTTTCGGGACATTCTTTATTTGCACGTGGTCTCTTGAATTGCAGTTTGGTTTCTCCGTTCCTCAAGAAGATTCATTTCTACTTTCATGTTATCCTCGTTTTCTCCTTGATTGAATAGTTGTCAGCATAAGGAAGTTTCTCCTATTTCCACCGTGAGGTTCCTATGTGAGGTTATAGGGTGTTTCACCGGTCGCTAAATGTCGAGTGCAACGGTAGGCCCATAGAACTTTCCGAAGCTCTTCGACCCATCTCCCTTTGGTTGTTCCCAATTTCTTTTTAAACTCCCGCATGATGATTTTGTATGCAACTTCTGGCTGACCATTGATTTGAGGGTGCTCTACAGAGCTCATTCTATGGGTTATGTTTAATCTCAAATAGAACTCGCTTAACCCTTCATCAACAAATGATTTTTCATTGTCAGTAATGATGGACATAGGGATTTCAGAGCTACACACGATGTTCTTCTATACAAAGAATTAGATTGTTGAACAGTGATATTAATGACTAGTTCAGTCTCTCTTGACTTTGTAAAATAATCAATTGTCACTAATAAGAATTTATATTAACATCGTATGGAAGAAAATGAATTAACAATACAAATTAATTATACATATAATTGAGAATTTATAATATATTTTATCAAAATAAAATTGATTACGTTTTCTTTTTGGGATTTATTTGCATTTATAAAAGACATTGACTATGTGATCTTATTTGTAACCTAGTAGTATTTGGGGCTTTCACTTTTATCAAATATTCCTCGAAGTAAAAAATGACATATTGAATGCGTGAGCTTGAACACTGATTTTGGCATAGAAAAAACAGGTGAAATGGATTGGTTTAAGATTTTATATATATATATAGAATGGGTTGTTATGGAAAAAAAGAATCTTAGTTTTTGTGCATCTGATTCTTTTTACTTCAACTTTTACATCTTTGGTTTTTTAGTTAATGGCTTAACTTTATCCTTTTCTTTTATACGATGGACCAGCTTAAGGATTGGAAGATTGCCTTGAGAGAGTATTTAAAGAAAAGGGAGAGTACCTATATAAAATGGAAGGGAGTATAATTAGTCATATATATATATATATATATATATATATATATATATATTCATATTTTAGATTATTTTTTTAAACAAAATAATTTTATGGAAATAAATTGCAGTTTTTTTAAGCAAACCAAACTGGTTGATATAGTAGTCTATTTTAATAACTCTAAATACAATCATATTTTAAACTCAATTATTTGATTATATATATATATATATATCATTACTTTATTATATAAATATCTATAATAATAAGTAATACTTATTGAAATGAAATTAAAATATAAATTATAAATAAGATAGGTATAATGAAAATGATTAATAATATTATTTTAATATATTTTTAAAATTATGTTTTAATTAATATTATTAAAATTATTTATCAAATATATACAAGTTAAGACTATTTTTGTAACTTGTCAAAATTTTGAATCAAGGTAACACCACAGTAAATCAGACTATCAAGGTGACATTATTAGAGCATGAGTCTCTAGATCAATTAAAAAAAAAAAAAAAAAAAAAAAATTTCATGATAGGTAATTTAAGAAGAATTTATTTCTTATAATAAA